ATATTCATCATATTAGACAGTATTATTCAACACATGTTTTGATTTGAAGTTTTATTTATTTTGTGTTGCTTTACTTGGTAGTGGCCGTAATGGAAACGAGAGAGGCTTCGCCCGCTCATTTGTTGGTCAAAATCGAATCTTTTTCCTTGTTTGAGAAGCATGGTATCAAGGAATTCAAGACGAGTGAATTTGAGGCCGGGGGATACGAATGGTACGTGACCCGTGTTCGTACGTGTTATAAATCACGAAAACTAGAAATTCACTTGAAAGAAAATATTTATTAATTTCGTGCTTCATGCGTTTTGAAAATTTTACTGACGCACTTAAACCGCAATTGTCGCATAGTGAATCAACGCAATGATGAAAATATAACAAGACATGTCATTCTCTTGCGCAGGAAGCTTTCGATTTACCCAAATGGAAGAGAAATAGACGAAGGGTACGTGTCGGTGTACTTAGCCATTGTGGATTCTGGTTACTTGCCCAAAGGCTGGGAGGTTAATGCCACGTTCACGATCTGCTTGTTTAATCAGATTTCCTGCAATTACCGCTATTCACTTGGTAAATTTTCTAGCACTCAACTGCATTTGGGGAGGAAATTTAGATATGTTTGTGTACGAGTTTTTTTTAAAGTAGATATTGGTATCAGGAATAAGTCGGCGTTTTCTTGCAATGAAGAGAGAATGGGGCTTTCCCAAGTTCATCTCCAAGACACAACTTAACGATCCTCACAATGGATTCCTCAGCCACGATGACAGTTGTGTTTTTGGTGCTGAAGTTTTTGTTAACGAAAATAAAGCTTTCATTGATTGTTTATCTTTGAAGAATGATGTGAATGCTCCCTACAAGGAGGAATGGAACATTCCGAACTTTTCTAAGTTGGGGAGTGAATGGGTTTCACCGGAGTTCTTTGTCGGAGACCGTAAATGGTATGTCAGTTAATTAATCAGCAGGGCATCATTTAAACCTATATATATATATATATATATATGAATTCTTTTTTTGTTCTTCTAGCCGACAGAAACTATTTTCGTGCAGGTGTGTGAAGATGTTCCGAAATGGACTTGGAGAAGCTAGCGGACGCTTCGTGTCTATCTTCTTATACTATCTTTCTACGAATGGTAACAACGAACGTTTGCACACATGCTTTACAATCCGCATGATGAATCAACTTAGCACTGAACACGAAAGTAAAGTTGGTAAGTCATCCTAAGCACTTGAAATTCCCAAAGTATTTTATGAAAATTGTTTACTTTTCGAACATCTTCTGTTATAGGTTCTAATTGGTTTTCAGCTCCTGGAAACCTTAACTGGGGATGGGCTTCATTTATTGAGCTCGATGCGGTGAATGATCCTAACGAAGGATTCATCGTGAACGACTATTGTATTATAGAAGTAGAGATATCTGTGCAAGCGATTGCAAGCTCAGTCTGATTTGTCTATCAATTTTCAAGCCAGACGAAGATTTTCTTTCTTTTTTTTTTTTTACATGTTTTTCACTATTTTATTACTTAAATATGGATGACATTTTATTTGACAGAATTGGCATTGATTTATATATAGTTTTTAATTTTTAAGATTCAACAATACTGGTTTATATCAATATAGTCTCGTTTCCTGTTCAGTGTTCAGTGATGTTACCATAGCCCAGTTCATCATCCAAATACCACCACGCCTTAAAATATTTTTGTTCCTGTTTTCAGTTTTTTATTTTTTTTATATATATATTTTTTTTAAATGACTCTTCAGTTACTGTTTATTTGTTTTTTAATTTTAGCCATTGAACTCGAATTATGAATACCTACATGCAACAACTAGTTTTATTTTTTTTTAAAAAAATAAAAATAAAAAGAAAGAGTACAACTAGTGGCGGAAATTGTTGTTTACAAAATGAGAAAAAAATAATGAGAAAAAAAAAAATCGAACTTTTAACTGTTAGATTATAATTGATTGAATGACAGTAAAATAACATATGAACTTTTAACCGTTAGATTATAATTGATTGAATGACAGTAAAATAACATCTGGGGCTGTTGTTAGTGGGTCACAGCAACCCCCTAACCCTTAATAGTTATAAGGTTATATCATTAAGGTAAAATTACATATTAATACAGCACCTTTCATGTTTTTACAATTTAATCACCACATTTGTAATTTAACAATTTAATTAATAAATCACTTTCACTATTTTTTGCAATTCGAATCACATGGCCCAATTCGGGTTTTTTGTGCTGACATGGCGTTGACATGACATTTTTTGCTGACATGTCGTTCCATGTGTCAATGACATGACATCTTTCTGCTGACATGACATTCCATGTGTCAATTACAAGTAAAATAATTATACTACACATGAGATTCGAACACGAGACATGAAGGTTATATGGTAGTAGTGCCTTCACCACACCACTGCTGGTTACTTGATAAATCTAATAGCGTTTTATATATATAAAGTTGCGTATGAATAAATCAAATCAAACGTAAAAGATAATTTATTAAATTAATAAATACAAATTATTTTAAATGGAATTATATAAAGTTAAATGAAAATAAAATAAAGTAAATTAAGATAAACCATGTTATAATAGAATGAGTTTAAATTAATTTAAATTTAAATATATTTATGTATTTATTATTTATTGAAATAGTTATATAAATTTGGAATAAAAAATAATAATGATAAAAATAAATTAAAAATAAAATAAGTTAAAGTACATCAGTTGAAATAGAGATTGGTTCAAATACGGCTGGTTTCTTAAAATGAGGACGTGAGACTCATTTTTAGCCACAAGATTTGGTACATAATGTGTGGTCAAGATTTAATCTTTTCTTTTTATTATTTTAATTATTTAAATATTATTTTGACTTGTTGACTCTGACGTTGACCGTTGATTTCCGGCGTTGACTTCAAGTGAAATTCGTTGACTTCCGACATTGACTGTTGACTTTTGGAGTTGACTCCGGCGTTGACAGTTTACAAGTAACCTTCCAACTAGGTTAGTGCTCTGTAGTTGTTAAGTTAGTTCTCTGTAGTTGCTAAGTTAGTTCTTTGTAGTTGCTAGGTTAGTTGTCTGTAGTTGCTAGATTAGTTCTCTGCAGTTGCTAGGTTAGTTGTCTGTATATGCTAAGAGTTGTCCGTATTTTAAGAGCTGGCTTAATTTGATCCGCCCCCAGTTATAATATAATAAAAATAATATAATATGAGATAATAAAGTATAAAAAAGGTAAAGTAAATTAAAATAAAATAAAATAATAAATATATTATTTCTAATTTTCATATTTATATAATCAATTTAATAAATAATAGATATACAAATTAATACAAGTCTCGCACCCCGACCGGCTGAAAATCGTCTCGAGCTCGTTCTCCTCGCCTGTTGAACGCGGAACCTGCACGTAGCTCTCACACCGGTGGATTTCTCCGGTGAAGAGCCTCCTACGCTCAAGTCAGTCTTGAGAATGATAAATATGTATGTAAGTATTTTAGAATGTCAGAAAATCTCTCCTGAAACAAGAGTTCTCGACCTTATTTATAGGGGCGAGTTACCTGTTATACACGCGCGACTTGAGCGAGTCTGGCTGTCAGCCTTTCTGCTCGTCCTTACGATTGCACGCCCCCACTATCTTTTAGTGTCAGAAAACGCGCCAGATGCGTCAGAGAATGTCAGAGTTCGTTATCGTCTTGGGCCCCTCGTAGAGCGTCGCGTGTCCTCCTTTCACGTGTTGGAGACTCCCTTGTCTATTCCAGTATTCGACCAAATCTTTAACAAATGCTAAGATGTCCCTGAGGTATGAGGTGGTCGAATGAACGACCACGTCGGGTCCGACCATCTTTCCTCGACGAACTCCTCGAACAGTCTGTGCTTGTCTACCACTACTGAAACTGCTCTTATTCATTGTCTACCCTCTTGCGGCTGCTCGGTCCAGTTCGACCAGACCGTTTGATCTATTTTAACCCGGCTAACCTGACGAACCGGTCTAGTAAACAATATCCCATATCATCTAGTCCCCCCACTCTGGTTGAGTCTGAGTGACTCGATCTAAGAGTAGGATTTGTCTGTGCCACCGCGTTCCCATTTCACTCGCTTCAACCACATAGTGCGTTTTTTATCTTTGCTCCACCACTTTTTTTCATAACCGCCCTTTTGCGCTTTTGAATTTTGAATTTCGCCACTTGTCCGCCATTTCAGACGCGCCCTCTCGTTCTGTCAGACATCATCATTGCCTCGTGCTCTGTGCTCATTCGTACTGCGTGCTACTTTTAAAAACCCTTATTCCTGCTAGTCATTGGATCAATCACTTTAATCCAACGATCAATATTCTTCTGTTTGTTCATCTGCCTTCTCATCACAGCCGTTGAAACTTCACAATCCTACGGCTGGTAATTCTTTTTCGTTCATTGCCTCTCCATATAAATACCAATACTTAGATAGATTTCACCTTTTCTTTACTCCCGCATTCTCTCGCAATATCCAGCTTCTCTGCAATTCGAGCATTCCTGCAACTTCACGCTCTTCGATTTCCCAGCAAACGAATCGCCAGTCACCATGAGTAAGTTCTCTTTAATCTTTGAATCTATGTTTGCCGATTTTTGATTTTTATTTCAACGAAAAGCCGGAATAATGCTTGCTTCATCAACGACCGACCATCCAATGTCCCAAAGACCGACCATCCAATGTCCCAAAGAGACTAAAAGAGTCTTCTATTTAATTTAATTTATTATAATTTTATATTCTATTAGTTTAATACATTATCTTTTAAATTTACTATAATTTATTAATACGCAACTCTATATATACAAGACGTTACTAAATTTATCAAGTAACTAGGATTGGTGTGGTGGTGGCACTATTACCATATAACCTTCGTGTATCATGTTTGAATCTCATGGGCAACATAATTTTTTTTTATTTTTAATTGACACGTGGAATGTCTTGTCAGCAGAAAAATGCCATGTCATTGACACGTGGAATGACATGTCAGCAGAAAAGGCCACGCCAACGCCATGTTAGCACAAAAAAGATCGACCTGAGCCTTGTGATTCGAATTGCAAAACATAGTGAAAGTGGTGCATTAATGGTTTGATATTTATCTGAAATAGAAAATAAAATCCCGCCTAATGTTTTTAAAATTACTAAACTTGATAATTTAAGAAAAAAATTGAAAAAATTCTCGCCAATAGAGTTTTTATTTCGAATTTCAAAAATATTTTGATATTATTTTAGGCTAATTTGCATTTATTATGGAAACATATTTACCTATTAATTTTAATATAAATGAAGATCCTCTCTTACTGTATATTACAACCTCAACATTCCATATTCATTTCAATTAATATCACTTAGCCGCAATAATTCATATACGAAATTGAAAATAAATATTGTCTTTAATTTTGATCCTCTCTTAACATCTCATTATTGATTGTCCATAATAAATGAAATCTCATTATTAATAAGTTATTTTATATGTGCATCAATTATTTACATATAAAATAAGACATGAGTATTACCAAAAAAAAATATTTTCAACTTTTTAATCGACCCATTATGCTTGTGCACACGTGGTTAAATAAATGTTTCAGCTTCAAATCTAAAGGTCACTCGATTAGTGTTCGATTTGCAAGCACTCCACTAACTCATTTGTTCTTAATACTTTTTCTTTGTTCGATTTGCAAGAACTCCGCAAACTCATTTGTATTTAATATTGTTTCGTTCTCACAAGATATAGGCTTTCATTCATATCATTGCTCTTGTATCTAGCAACTCTGATTTTCTTTTGGATCGGCTCCAAGTTGCTTGCAATAGTTTAAGTAGTACTTAACACGACGAGCAACCCTGGCCGGATTTTCTCCATTGCATTCAAGTTGACCGCTAATGGCTTTGATTGTGGCTCCGAATCCTTTCAAAGTCGTAATAAGGTCGTGACAATTTAACTTCCAAAACCAGAGTTCAGTTTTGAATGAAATAACTGAATCTCTAGATATCAGGATCTTCCAATCCGTTGAAATTTATGCTTTCGGAATTGGAGTGTTGACGGAGGTGACATGGCCAGTGGGTGTTTAGTAGAATTTTTTGGGTAAACGATAACCGAGTTACCCGACTCGGGTCGATCTCGAAGGGAAAGCTATTCGGAGCTTTACTTACTATTTAATCGCTCAAATCACCAAAAAAAAAAGAAAATAAATTCCTAAACATACTAATCAATTTGGGTTGAGATTGATTAATACTAATTACGACTAGAGAAAACGAGTAAATGAGCAATAAAGCAAGTAAACGAACTATGAAATTCTAGCAACTAAATCGGCGACAAAGTCAAGAGCAACAAAAGCGAAAGTAAGAGAAACGAACCCCATTAACATGCTTAAGAGCCAAAACCGAAATCCTACTACGAAATAACCGAGCTAAACATCAAGTGATGATTTTTCAAGTAGCAAT